CATTTGGGGCCGTCCCTCACCGAAGGCACGCGGGTCAGCAGCCCTGGGGTGGCATTTGGGGACACTTGGGGACATTTGGGGCCATTATTTGGGGCCGTCCCTCACCGAAGGCACGCGGGTCAGCAGCCGTGGGGTGACATTTGGGAACACTTGGGGACACTTGGGGACATTTGGGGCCGTCCCTCACCGAAGGCACGCGGGTCAGCAGCTGCTCCTCGGCCTTGCTGAACAGAACCTTGCTCTGGATGGCGGCCACGGCCTCGGGGTGCAGCTGCCGCATGGCCTGGCACGACAGCCTGGGGACATTGGGGACATCATTGGGGACATTGGGGACACCCCTGGGACAGCCCCATGGCCTGGCACGACAGCCTGGGGACACAGGTGACACCTCTGGGATTGTCCCCAAATCCCTGAGACACCCAGGACACAGCCCTGGGACACCTGGGACCACTCGGGGACACCTGAGACCCCCTTGGGGACACCTGAGACCCCCCTGGGGACACCCGAGAGCACCCTGGGGACACCTGAGACCCCCTTGGGGACACCTGAGACCCCCTTGGGGACACCCGAGAGCCCCCTGGGGTCCTAAAGCAGAAGCTCCCAGCGCTCCTGGCTGTCACACAGGTGTCACACAGGTGTCCCCCCAGTGTCCCCTGACTCTGTCACACCTGTGGGACACCCCCAGGACCCCCCAAAGACCCCCAGGACCCCCCCGAGTCCCTCACTTGCAGATGACAGGGTCGTAGAGCAGCGAGTACCAGCGCTCCTGGATCTCCCTCAAGGTGAAGCGGCAGCTGAACTTCACCCCCAGGTGCACCGAGGTCAGGTCGTTGGTCTGGGGTGGGGGGGGGGAAAACCCCAAAAAATTAAAAAAAAAGGTGAGGGGAGGGGTCCTGGGGGTGCTGGGGTCACCCCCAAACCTCACAGGTGAGGGAGGGGGCACCAAAACCCCCCCAAACCCCTCCAGGTGTGCCCTCACCTGCAGCACAAGAACCCATTTGGTCCCAAGTGACCGTTCTGGGGTGATTTCCCCAAAATTCCCCCAAATTCCCCAGCTAGGGGGGGGGTTCCCCAGGTAGGGGGGTTTCCCCAGGTGGGTGGGGGTCTCCCAAACCCCTCCAGGTGATGTAGAATCCTCAAACCCCCCCAAACCCCCCCCAGGTGTGCCCTCATTGATGAGTCCCCACCTGCCCAGGTCCCTTCCGTGGAGTTCCCCCCCAAATTCCCCAGGTGAGGGGGGGTTCCCCGAATCGAGGGGTGTCCCCCAGCTCGGGGGGGGGAGGGGGGGGGTCTCCCCAGCCCCCCAGG